GGTTTACAGTTTCGTAAATTTGCAGAATATTTTGACCGTAATATTGCGTAAATCTTACGATATTGAAAACTTATGTAATATTTTAACCGTAATATCACATAAATCTTACGAAATTGTAAACTTACGTAATATTTTGAAATTTTTTGAAATATTATGCCATAAACTTTCGTAAACTTACAAAATCGTAAACTTACGCAATTTTTCGCGCTATAAAATTTCCTGATGTATTGGGTACTTATATATATAGTATACCTATCAGATACCTGATATATGTATGATATATATATTAGTACCCGATATGTGTATGATATGTGTATTATTTGTATATGATTTTCTACATTTTGAATACCCAATATGTGTAAGATATGTGTAGGATAAATCATTTTTTTACCAGTGGCATGTTCGTTATGCTATACTACTTTGCGTTGCATCCTGGTGACATGTGTTTTGCCTCAGCAATTAAAAAACTACCTCAGCAATACCGGCAATTTTTGCACAGATGTCATATATCACATAACTTCAATTACGTGATTTTGATATTTGCTTTACCTTTTATGGTTGATCTGTATTGAACGATAGTTTTATTTTAATATTTTTGTACTACAACTTTTGGAATGATCTTACCACACCACCTCGGAAAGATGTGATGTCTAACCGTCACCATATACGTGACATCCACACTTGCGTTATTTATATTTATCTCAGCGACTTATCACAGGTCAAAAAGTGTCAAATCAGTCACCAATCAGTTACCAATCGGGTGTCTGATTGATGCCTGATTGATGCCTGATTTTACCAATCTGATACCAATCAAGCTGCCCGATTGATACCTGATTTCCACCAAAATCTGACACTAATCAGTCACTTATCAGGCTGCCTGATTGTTGACAGATAGGTAACAGATTTATGACAGATTGGTAACTGATTGGTGACAGATTGGTGACAGATTGGTGACAGATTGGTGACCGATTGGTGACGAATGATAGTTAATTTTATGGTCAATCGATGGTCAATTTATAGTCAATCAATGGTAAATTAATGGTCAATTTATGGTCAATTTATGGTCAATTTATGGTCAATTTATGGTCAATTTTATGGTCAATTTTATGGTCAATTTTATGGTCAATTTATGGTCAATTTATAGGTCAATTTATGGTTAAATAACCAATTGGTAAAATTTTCTAGTAGTAATCATATAACCAATAATAAAATTTATTACAGCACATAATAATATTTATTAAAATTATAAACTCCGTCTACAAACAATAAAATACATAGTGTCTTTATTTATTTATATTAATAACGCTATTGATACTTGGTTAAAATTCAGGGCTACGAATTTTGATCCTCACTTACAATCTATTTTCAAATTACGAAGTAATCATATTGTTTGGAATCAAATTAATGAAATTGTTACTTCTCTTAATTTGAAACTTCAACTTATATATGTCAAAGCACATTCTAGTGACCCATGGAACGAATTTATTGACTCTAAATGTAGTGAAGTTCATAATAATAATAATAGTTCTATCATTACGCTCTTAACAGACAACATGAAAAATATTCATTATACCTTAAACTGGAATAATATTGAAGTTGAACAATCTTCTAGGAAATTTATATCTCAACGTCTAAAGTTAGAGGTTTTGAAGAATTTTTTAATCTTGCACGAAATGTCAAATATCGTCGTACTAACATTGATTGGAAATCAACATTTGAAGTTTTGTCTGGTAATAATTCCTCCAATATTACCACTTTCAAATCTTCTCGAAAGAAAGCTGAAAAACTTAAATTTTTGATGGAAGAATTGCCCACCATCGAGCAAATGAAAAAATCTCTTCTGGACATATATGACAATTGGTTGTGTCCTATTTGTAGTGATGTTATTAAAGATTTTAATCATATATGGTCATATGTTTGTCACGTGAATATACTTCACAAATTGTACGAGACTCTCAACATTTTATTTTGACGGCAATTAATAATAATATAAAAAGTGATTTTTGTCATGTCTCTCTCACAAATATTAATTCACTTGACAACTTTTGGGTTTGGTCTATAGATAATAACCGTTTAACTTTTATTGATTTTATCAAAGGTTTCGTTTCTATAACCTTGTCTAATTATCTTAAATCATTATTTTTTAATGACAAAGTCGTTCGAACTATTATTGGAGATCTACATGACTTTACATATAATGAGGTAATGAATAATATTTGGAAACCGCAATGCGAACTTCAAGTTGTGCTTGAGAAAAATCTTTCTATTACTAAAAAGAAAAAATTAGATAGTCGTTTAAATTTTTCTTCAAATTCTTCTTTTAATTTTATTAATAATATTAACTTTTCTAGTGTAGATTATATAGAGAATAGTTTAGAATCATTACGTAATAATATATCCCTATAAAAAGTCGACATACTTATTTTATACTTATTTTATACTTAAAACATCCTTATTATATTTAAAATATACTTATTTTACATTAATATTTAAAATTATAGTGAAATTTCAAAGTATTTTATTAATATAAATACTTTAAAAGTATTTGTAAAATATACTTAATTTTTTTATTAATAAGTTTTTAAAAATACTTAAAATATACTTATTTTATATCTAAATTTTCAAAGTAACTTTTTAGTATCTTTTAATAATATTTAATTTTTTGGTCACCGTACTAGCATTATGATGTACTTTCAACCAGATTAAAAGTCCAATAAAAACTGGCCAGCATTATATCATAATTTCACCACCGGTGACTAATCTCACTATAAAAAGTCTATACTTATTTTGTATATGTTTTATACTTACATTGTGCTTATTTTACATCTATTTTATAAAATGATACAAACAT